GTAGAATGTGCCCTTTTATTTAAAATGCATCTCTGGGTTATTTCTGGGGCATAGGAATTCGTTCATTTTTATGTTTATTTTTCAAAATATAGTCCGGCCCCCCACAAGGTCTGAGGGACAGTGGACCGGCCCCCTGCTGAAAAAGTTTGCTGACCCCTGAGTTAATGGGATGAAAATTATTTTAACAGCAACAAAATCTGTTCCTGGTTCTACGCCGTTAGAACCAGAAGTTGCATGTTCTGCAGAAATTCCAAACCTGTTGTAAGCTCAGAAAGCAAGAGAAGCAAATGGGGGCAATACACTTGCTTGCATTGCAGACTGTCTCATCCCCCCCCCAAAAAAAAAACTGGGCTAGGTTAGGCAAGCATGCTCTCACAGTGATTCTCCTGACTGCAGCCCCTCTTCTTGTCCCATAAAAACCACTGAAATAAATTAACAACAACAATAATAATAACAACAACAAAAACAATAATTTATTATTTATACCCCGCCCATCTGGCTGGGCTTCCCCAGCCACTCTGGGCGGCTTCCAAAAAAATATTAAAATACTGTAATACATCAAACATTAAAAGCTTCCCGAAACAGGGCTGCCTTCAGATGTCTTCTAAAAGTCTGGTAGTTGTTGTTCTCTTTGACATCTGGTGGGAGGGCATTCCACAGGGAGGGCGCCACTACCGAGAAGGCCCTCTGTCTGGTTCCCTGTAGCTTTGTTTCTCACAGTGAGGGAACCGCCAGAAGGCCCTCGGAGCTGGACCTCAGTGTCCGGGTAGAACGATGGGGGTGGAGACGCTCCTTCAGGTATACAGGACCAAGGCCGTTTAGGGCTTTCAAGGTCAGCAGCAACACTTTGAATTGTGCTTGGAAACGTACTGGGAGCCAATGTAGGTCTTTCAAGACCGGTGTTATATGGTCTCAGCGGCCGCTCCCAGTCACCAGTCTGGCTGCCGCGTTCTGGATTAGTTGTAGTTTCCGGGTCACCTTCAAAGGTAGCCCCACGTAGAGCGCATTGCAGTAGTCCAAGCGGGAGACAACCAGAGCATGCACCACTCTGACGAGGCAGTCCGCAGGCAAATAGGGTCTCAGCCTGCATACCAGATGGAGCTGGTAAACAGCTGCCCTGGACACAGATTTGACCTGTGCCTCCATGGACAGCTGTGAGTCCAGAATGACTCCTAGGCTGCGCACCTGGTCCTTCAGGGGCACAGTTACCCCATTCAGGACCAGGGAATCCACACCTGCCCGCCCCCTGTCCCCCCAAAACAGTACTTCTGTCTTGTCAGGATTCAACCTCAATCTGTTAGCCGCCATCCATCCTCCAACCGCCTCCAGACACTCACACAGGACCTTCACCACCTTCACTGGTTCTGATTTGAAAGAGAGGTAGCATCTATACAGTATCTATACCCAGGTGGTGCCTTATTTCTGTTTCTCACTCCCCTCCCCACTGAATTTTTGGCTTGCTGTGCCACTACATCTGAATATCCATGTATATCTGGGCACACACACACATGGACTGTGGATAGGTAGCTTCCGCAGCTGCAGAGGTTTCTGCTCATATTTGTAACTCATGAATTTTTAGCAAAACGCATGATGCATTAACAGAAATATATCATTTTGGATGAAATATGAGCATAAACATAGCATTTTCACTTTCAAATTGTCATTTTGGATTGCACCACAAGCCTTATCACCAGCCTCCTTGGGATGTCAACTGAAGGTTGGGGGCAAATGTTTCAAATAAATAAATATATGGAAAAATTGTATGTTTACAGCAAAACCTTATATCTGTATACTCAGAAACAGTCCCGCTGAGTTCAGTGGGGTTATTCTCAAGGAAGTGGATTTAAGAATTAGCCTTACTTGCTCACCTAGAGAACAACACCTGAAACCCATGCCACTACATGAAGATTCATTCAAGAGATTAATATTTTGAAATTCACATTTCCATTTGCAAAAATGCAGAGGAAGTATCCACACAGACTGATTTCAGAGAGCAAAATTATTTTCAAATAATTTGCAAAATGTTAGTTTTCCATCATGATTATTATCTCATCAGGGGGCTGAAGGAAGAAGTTCCCCATCCCCTTTCTCTCTCTCTTCTATGTGAAGAGGATAAACCACATTCTGTGGAATTCAAATGGCTGCATTATGCAGTCAAAATGGATGACAAAGGATCAAACCTCCATTGCTTTACTCTAGAAAGACATTCTGTTCTCCTACTTAAACCACCTGCTGACAGTGGGAAGTCCCTCTCCAACTTACATTCTTTATGCTTATCATCCTAGCTTTCTCTCTGCTTTTTGTTGTTTTCCCACTCATCCCTCGAGCATCTATACTCCATCTGGTGAATCCATAACCTTCTTGACCTGGTGTAGAGTGTTTTTTGATGTTGGACCACACTGAGACCACCAGTGGAGTGGCCACATGTGCAAGTGGTTAAATTAATTAGCTTTTCTTTAGAACTATAAACTAGCATAAAGAATGGCTTGCTGTGATAAACTTTCATAGCAAAAAAGTGGCTATTATATGAAGTTATAAAGAACTAATTAGGTTCTCTTTCATGTTCTGTATAAAATGGTTCACTCTAGGGAGCAATTGGAGAGCTAAAATCCACATGCTGCTCTGTCTATTAAAGCAGTGTCTCTAACATCACACCTATCAGAGCAATGAGAGTGCTGCCCAGTTCTTACATTTATTATATTTCTGAGATGCACTACTACTGAGTTCTCTGGGTGACAACCATTCAATGTTTGGCAGTTTGTTCAAAGTTTGTTCAATGTTTTATATGTTATAGAGGACAGGGTTGATATTCGATAAGATGGAAGGTAAGATAGACCTTGATATCTTCTATAATTAACGGCAAAATGAAAATTTGTGTAACACTCCCACACATAATTAAAACACCCATGTTCAACATGCTCCTCGACTTTTAGCTTGATCAGCAGCTTGAGCACCAAGAGCTGTGTCAGCAAATCACAATACGTAATACTGTGCTAGAAATGAATTGTCACCAGTACGCTATTTTAAGGCTGCGGGTCCTATGCAGGCTTAAGTAGCAATTCTATAGCAAGATCCGCTGGGATGAGCAGAGTGAGGATCCAGAAGATCTCTGGCCGAGAAGAGACCCAGAAGATATCTCCCCTGTCCCAACTAAGCTGCCACCCTGTTAGCTGAGCGGACCCTAAACCAGATTAAGCTTTGAAAAAGTGGGTGTCTTGGAGACATGGCAGGGGGTAGGGCCACACATACTTGGCATCCTTGAGCCAGGTAAGCCTGTAAAGGTGTGGTGTGACTCAAAACACTATTTTAAAGGCTTGTTTTCCCTCTGCTTAGCCAAGAAGGACTCCATGAAGTTTGACTCTACCTTTGGGGTCCCAAGTTCAATTGCTGGTGTCTAGGGCAGAAGTCCTTCATGAAACCCTAGAGATCCACTGCTATGGCCAACAAAACTGAAGGAGATGGACTCAGAGTATGACTTGGTACAAGGCCACTACCTTTATTTTATTCTTAAGACCACAGGCATGAGAAATTTCTAGCAATGCATACATGCCCAGGCTGTTCACTTAATACGTCTGAGGTTCTTCTACTGCTTCCTGGCAACCTTAAGACCTTGACACATCTTACACTGTTGTCATCTCAACCATTCTTATGTGGCTCTTTCAGTAGTACCTAATAGTGAGTAACTTTTGCAATCTGTCTTTTCTCTTCCTGAATGCCATCCTGATGAAGTTAACAGGAACAAAATTCTACTCCCTTTGTGCACACTTATGGATAAAGGAAAACTGATTAAAGATAAAGGTTGGGATGTGAAGGACCCTCCAGAGCATATTTGAGGGCTAGATGGGGAGAAGAGAAACCATTAGTCCCACTGAGCGAGCGGACAGACATCACTGGATGTTGCCCACATATGTCTTGACAATTAAGAAGGGACGCTTTTGCGTTTGAAGCCATAGACCTATGAGTATTTGTCCACCTTTACAAATACTAAGAGGACGCGGGTGGCGCTGTGGGTAAAACCTCAGCGCCTAGGGCTTGCCGATCGAAAGGTCGCCGGTTCGAATCCCCGCGGCGGGGTGCGCTTCCGTTGCTCGGTCCCAGCGCCTGCCAACCTAGCAGTTCAAAAGCACCTTCAAGTGCAAGTAGATAAATAGGGACCGCTTACTAGCGGGAAGGTAAACGGCGTTTCCGTGCGCGGCTCTGGCTCGCCAGAGCAGCGATGTCACGCTGGCCACGTGACCCGGAAGTGTCTCCGGACAGCGCTGGCCCCCGGACTCGAGTGAGATGGGCGCACAACCCTAGAGTCTGTCAAGACTGGCCCGTACGGGCAGGGGTACCTTTACCTTTACCTTACCAATACTAAGGGGGGAAGTATATTTTTTTGTAACTCGTCCTATACCCACAGGACATCTAGTTTATGTGTTTGTCAAAATCTCATTTGTTTGATAGTTTTAGATTTAATCGTAAGATTAAGGAATAGGATATTTGAAATTAATGTTTCAGTAAATCAGCTTTTATCTCTTCCCATTACTATAACGTCTGATTTTTTTATAGTTGAATTTCCTGCTTGGGTTATTTTAAAGTTTTCTTTTCCCTGTGTTCACCTCCAGACAATGATTCATTGAGAGCTGAGATAACCTAGGGCTTTGAATCCAGGATTTCTCTCTCCTCCCCACCTTTTCAATCACAGTGTGTCTGACATTATTACTTTTTAAAAAAACATTTTTATTTTGTGACCCAGCTAACTCCCTTGGTGTTTCTTCTTCTAGAACAATGAGGCAGATGGAAACACCTGATGGAAGAGCAATCAGTATTCTGCCCTTCCTATTAAACTACTCAATTATTTATTGAGATTAAAAGAGATTTTACCGTTTAGCCGACAATACAATTTACATTGTAGATTTCATTCTGGATGAAGGATTCCAGTCACTCCTAGGGAGAGATGGGGGATGGGGACTATTCTGCCAACTGTCTTTATCAAATCAATAAATGTTAATTAGTACCTTTGTTGTTGTCCATTCCTCCAACTGCATACAGGGTCCCAACAGTGGATTTTCTTGGTTTAGTTCTTGGGCTTTGCATAAGAGTCCGTCTTTCTGGCAAGAGATGGTATTTCATGGCTTCCAGAATCAGCTTCTGACATTCCAGGTCATCTTTAAAAAGTGCGTGGTTTTCTAGGTCAGCTAAAATCTGTGAAATATATGAGTTGTGATTTAGTAATGACTTCCCATTCCTTATAGCCCAACTCCCGGAGAGTTCTGCTTGCACAAGCCTCAGTGACATGAATAGGATGCACTATGAGCTTCAAGGCTAAGCAAGGTTTGAATATGTATTTTCCTAGTCTATCTTCAACATGCTCTGTTCACTGAGTCACACAGATGCTGTATGGTGTATGGGGTATACAGTGAAAATAAAAGTTCAGACAATGAATTAAGGACTAAGCAGAGACTTGAACTTCCAGGTATCAAATTCATGTGAGACATACTAACCTGGTTTACACATTGCGTGACCATGCGGCAACAGCCCCAGTCCCAGCCCCCAGGGATCACAAGAAAGGAATAAAGACTCTGACAACATTATATGGAATTAAAATTAGGCCACAACTTTATTAAACTTCCGAATGTAGGAAGACCTTGGCTTTGGCCTTGGGAGTGTATCCCTCCCAGCCCCACAGCCAGGGGGAACTGGGGCTCATCAGGGTAAATGGGATATGGGGTGCTCTGTGTGATGTAATTGTAGAAGGCAACCCAGCCCATATCCCCGCACGCAGGGTAGTTCACTGACGACCTTTCAGTGTATGGCCAGGGACACCCATATATATAACCCATTTAAGAGGGGACCCTGGAATCGCCACCGTAGGGGGGTGAGTCACCACTTCACACCCCCACCCATAGGGAAGAAAAGGCTAAAGGATTCCACCCAAGGTCAAAGTTGTGATGAATTGCTATGGGGAAGACAAAACCTGCCAATGCAAGAAAATTTCTTCCCAGTCCTTCGACAGCAACCAGTCAAAGACCGTAGCAGCGCCCGCTAAAGAGGAAGAAAAAGTTAACCTGCAAACGAAACATTAAACAAATGGAGGGTAGGGAGGGTGAATCTCCAGAGCCAACTGCCTGGCTATTTCAGCTCCACCCCCTATTTTTAAATGGGGCTGGCCCCACCTCCCAGCATGAAACTTGATTACTGAGGCTGGCCGTGAACCTCCAAAAATTAACACTGAGAGGCAAGCCAGCCCATTTGTCAGTAAGCTCCCTGGGAACTGCAGCACCAAGCGCGATCCCACAAAGGGCACCCACAATGTAAAGTGTGATTGTCATTATCGTAAACCATGGTTTATGCTGTCCAGTTGCATTTATAATGAACTGAAAAAAGTGTTGAAAAACACATTTATTAAAAAACCAGAAGGACTTGGTATAGTGGAGGGTGAAATCCCAAAAAGGATGTTACTTTTTTTCTGTATGCCACAACAGCTGCGAGAATATTGCTAGCAAAGAATTGGAAGAAACAAGATTTACCAACTACAGAAGAATGGCAGATGAAGATGATGGACTATATGGAACTTGCCGAACTGACCGGGAGACTCCGAGACCAGAGAGAAGAGACGGTGGAAGAAGATTGGAAGAAGTTTAAGGAATATTTGAAAAAATATGTTAATATTTAAATCTAAGAATAGCTTTGGAAGTGGATTTAGGCTGTAGGGTTAGAAGTAGAAGATAGTGTATTTTAAAATAGTATTATTTGCAAGTGATAAAATGTGAAGATAGTGGGTGTCTTGGAGACATGGCAGGGGGTAGGGCCACAGATACTTGGCATCCCTGAGCCAGGTAAGCCTGTAAAGGTGTGGTGTGACTCAAAACACTATTTTAAAGGCTTGTTTTCCCTCTGCTTAGGTTGACTCAGCCAAGAAGGACTCCATGAAGTTTGACTCTACCTTTGGGGTCCCAAGTTCAATTGCTGGTGTCTAGGGCAGAAGTCCTTCATGAAGCCCTAGAGATCCACTGCTATGGCCAACAAAACTGAAGGAGATGGATCCAGAGTATGACTTGGTATAAGACCACTACCTTTATTTTATTCTTAAGACCACAGACATGAAAAATTTCTAGCAATGCATACATGCCCAGGCTGTTCACTTAATACGTCTGAGGTTCTGCTACTGCTTCCTGGCAACCTTAAGACCTTGACACATCTTACACTGTTGTCATCTCAACCATTCTTATGTGGCTCTTTCAGTAGTACCTAATAGTGAGTAACTATTTTTATGGTTAAAGTAAAAAAATATGGTTAGAAATTATGATATATGTAAACTGCTAAAGATGAGGTAAAATGAATATCAGATAGGGGGGACTTGGGGAAGCACACCTAACAATATTTAGAAAAAATAAGGATAAGACAAGAATCTGTTTCTATTGTTTGTTTTCCTGTCTGGGTTGTTTATTTGTGTTATAAAATGAATAATTTTTTAAAAATAAATAAATATGCTGTTCAGTTGCATTCGCCTCCCTCCCCACCACTGCCATGCTGGAAGGAAACAAACTACAGTGGTATCTCACAAGACGAATGCCTCGCAAGACAAATGCCTCGCAAGACGAAAGAGTTTTGCATTTTTTGAGTTGCTTCGCAAGACGAATTTCCCTATGGGCTTGCTTCGCAAGACGAAAACGTCTTGCAAGTTTGTTTCCTTTTTCTTAAAACCGTTAATACCCAGGGAAACCGTGCTTCACAAGACGAAAAATTCGCAAGACGAAAAAACTCGCAGAACGAATTAATTTTGTCTTGCGAGGCACCACTGTATAGCACTATCTTCGGATTATGTGGAAACCAGCACTTGTAGTATGTTTGGGGAAAGCAAACCATGGTTGACATGTAATATTAAACGAACACTTCGTCCTGGCAAGGCATAGGGAGAGAATGCACAGGCCGCAGAGCAGTGTGTACCAGCATGCTTGTTATCTGTAGCAGATAACTCATGGTTTGTTTTAAACCACAGCTTACCATTATGTGCAAACGGGAACATTCTCCACTGGGTCACAATGCTACCAAACGATGCTTAAGAAACATGAGGTCAAATTAATTTAATTCTAATATATCCAGAAAGGCAACCTTGGAGCGAATGTCAATCCTTGTAGTAACTTTAAAAATAATAGCCACAATAACAGAAGCGTACACATTTTCTCAGAAAATAGTCAAAACTGATAACTTGGTTTACTATCTGCCTTAGATAAATTTAGAAAATATGGCTGATGCTAGAAAAATCTCCTACACAGGAAATTAACCTGTAATGTTGGTTCAATAAGTCAGCAAAGCAAATACTGGGCTCCCGCCCCTGTACATTTCATCTTCCCAAAGAGTTGCATGGAATAACTAAAATTTAATTAGCTGCTGCCCTAGCTCTATCATAAACTTCCCTTCCATGCTATGCATCCCCAGGGGAGTTGAGTAAATAGCTTCTTCAGAAATAAGTAATACAAGAATGTATCTGCATCTATCTGACAATTTTTCAATCAACGGAAAGAACAGTATATTTCTCTCTCGCTCTCTCTGTCTAAGACACAACTTACACATCCTGACATCACAATGTAGTGTGTTTGACAGCATTCCCTGTCACCAGCAGCCAATTATGTGTCGTAGGAAAGCATACCAACAGAATTTCTGGAGGACATGGGTGAGCTGCCTTAGAGTTATAGGTGGAAGAGAAGAAACATGGAGCTCTCCATAAGTGCCAACAGCCACACATTTAATATAATGCGTTGTTTTACCCTTACCAAGCATTTTGTACTAGAAAATGCAAGCAGAAAAGTGTACTTAGTGGTAGAATTACTTTAACAGAATTAGAGATTCTATTAAAGAAAAAGAAGAATCGTTCTGTTTGGGCTTGGAAAAAAATATTGAGAATAATCATATTGTGCATACAGGAATTCCGTAGATGCCTTCATCCATTCCCAATGTGGCACCATTGTAAACATTTCACCAAATCCTATGCTTGGTCATTAAAAGGGACGAAAGTCGTTGAAGCAAAAGCACGAGAATCCAGTTTTAAAACCAAGAAACAAAATACACCAATTTATTGCAACATGTTCACACTGAATTATTCTCTGCAATGAGAAAGCAGTTGATGCAGATGTTGAATGATTCAAGGACAATGAAATTCTTCGTTGCTGTGCATAACCAATGCAAGTCAATTTGTTTATCAACAGAGGAGGCATGACTAGTATAAGCTAATGGCAGGGAAATATGGACAAAATGTTACAAACAAAACACTCAAAGAAAGATAAGCAGAAGAGATGTTGAAAGATTATCTTTTCATGAGATTAACTGGTATTCAACACAATCCTATGTATGGGTTGTATTCAACTAAGTTTTACTAAGAGTCAATCTATTTAAATGAATATGAATAAATTGGGGCCATTAATTTCAATAGGTTCACTCAGAGTAAACCTAATTGAATATCACAATTTGTTTAGCTTAAAACAAGATAGTGTGGATAGATTGTAAATTCATTAAATAGTAAAAAGTGAAGACAGATACACATTTAAAGTGCTTTTTAAAAATCCCGCTGAAGGGGGGCGGGGAAGATGGAAAGGAAGCCTCACCCAACATGGCAAGCATTTCTCCCCCAAAAAACTTTATTGGGGTTCAGAATTGTGTCTTCTGAAAATTTCTGAAGCAGTACCTCAATTTGCACCTATGAATGCAGATAGAAAATCTGGGCTGCTTTTCAAAGTCTGGCCCTATATTTAGTTGGTAAATTATTTTAAAATCAAAATAGACTTTGTTTTAGATAGGATTGAGGCATAGTATAATGCTCCACTTAAAATGTGTTTAAATCTGTTTCTTAAGATGTAGGTTTTACATACATGACAAATGAGGTTAATTTATCTGAAGTTTTATTCTGCATGTGATGGGCTTAATTGTTGAGTGTACCAACCTAGGTTTCATCTCTTAATGAGAATTTGGTTCGGCACTGGACAATGTCTTGTTTACAGGGCAATCCTAGATGTATCTGGTCAGAAATCTCAGGTGTCACATGATTATATTAACAATTTTTAGATTAACACCTTTTTAAATTTGTTAGAACTTGGTATGAAAAACTTCACTTTATATGTTGGGGTAGAAATCATTTAACCATTTTGATATTTTGTATCAGTAACACAGCTGGAAAAAATAGCCACTGTACTACATACAGTGGGTTA